CAGTTTACAGCGCTATGCCCAGGATTCCTGGAGACTGACGAATAGTCTGGCTGCTTTGGGTGGACGTTCGTTATACGCGTGCTCTCTCGACTGTTGCGTGCCATTCCCAGTTATTCTAACTACGCGTGCCATTCGAATCTTTCTGCAGTTGAACGCGCTAATCTGGGATATCTAAAACATTCCCTGAGTAGCAGTTGTACTTGCCGACGCAGCGCCCCGTCTTTGCTAGGAGCCTGCATCTATCTCCTGGAAATAACTACAGAGGAAAGCGACGATAATCGCACTGCCTGCGCAGCAGCGCTCCCCATGGGCAGGAAAAAGTCTTCACGGAAGGCAGGGGGTGACGCAGCGTTTGGAGTCCCGCTTTCCACAGATTCGTGCTGGTGTTATCGTGCGCCGAAGGTGTACGCTGTCAAAGAAACGCTGCCTAGTCAGAGGGTGTCGTTCTTTTGCTTCACATGGTGGCTCAATTGCCGAAAGCGAGCCAGGCCACAGCACACCTCCTAGTATGCTGTCCATATCATTCACAACGCCAAACCCGGAAAAATATGGGAGAGTAATCTCAGTGACTACGATGAACCGGATGCACAAAAAAAACGGATAAAAGCCCTAGACGACGTGCGTGGAAAATAGTCGTTTGCAGTACCATGCCATCTCACACGTTGGAGCTCGCTTCCGCCTTGCCTCTTCACTGCGTAGAAATTCTTCCCAATGCAGCATGCGGTCCTCCCTTGGTTTATTGACCCGGAGGCTTTGTACTGGGGAAGACATCTTCGAGTTTGAGGCCGCCTTTCAAAAGGTCCCCTAGCATGCCTTGCACCTGCTCTGGTGCTTCAGGTTGGCGAGTGCCTAGTGACACTGTTTCGTAGTACCAGCCATACGCTGCACCAGAGGCATGTACAGTAGGCCTGGCAGTGGGTGGAAGCAGGGAGGGTGGAGCGATCTGGTTAGAAACGTTGTGCCCGCCGTGGCTTGGATATCGTTGGAAGCCAGCATGCGCATATGGCCCTGCGAATGCACGTCGTGGCGATTGTGGGTAAGACGGAAAAGGGGGCGCTGCTTCGTGAAACGGAGACACGCCTGGCGCTTGAATCGCAGTCCGATCCGTATGTTCGGACGTACGGATCTGAAGCAATCCATTGACTTCCCTTCTATTAGCATTTGTCAGTGCGCCTTGGAAGCCATACGGCTGAACATGCATTGAAGGCAACGACGGGCTCAGCAGTGGATGAGGCAATGGTGATGGAAAGGACTGCGGGTAGCGCGGTGTGCCGCTCGTTGCAACTTCTTGTTGGGCCGAATAAGCTAGGTCAGGAAGGTGGCGAGCTGAGAAGTCCCATGGTTGTTGAGGTCGAGGCTCTGCAAAAGCCGCGGCCTGCAGGCCTTGTAGTCCCGCGCCTGACGAAGTCGAAGAGGGATGCAGTGCTGAGTAGGATTCTTCTTGCTCCTGCGTCGGTATCCCTTCCTCATCTAGTGGCTCCCGTGAGGTGGAGGCTTGTTGAACGCTAGCCGACGATTTAGGAGCAGCATTCTGGTGCGTTTTTGTTGCGTGTGATGGAGATTGCGGTATGCCTCCGGCATCGCGAACAGCTTGGCGTATCTGTTGTACCAAAACATCCAACGGAGGGATCAATTCATTGCGACTCTGGGCATGTCGGCGACTGAGAAGAGGCTGCGATTCGACGCATTTCTGGCAGTTTAGGATATGCTGCCTCAGCAAAGAGTCTCGACCGATATAGGAGGAATGCGCTTCATACACATAACTCAGAACAAGCGCCAGTTGTGTGATCAGATCCGGTGGGGGCTTGCTTTTGTTGACTGCCTCAAAATTTGAGAGTCCTTCCAGTACTTTTATGCAGACCTCTACTACCACAGTACCTGTTCGTACAAGAGACACCATCTTCGGCCTGTATACATGCGGCACGTTCAGCTCCGAACGCGGCCGAGGTTGTTTCAGTTTTTCTACTACGGCCTGCAGTTCGCGAATCCTTTGGCGGCTTTCTTCGAGGTGCGTTTCCTGCCCGCTGCGCAGCAGAGCTTCATTACATAGCTTCAAAAGAGCGTCACCCAGTCTTGTCCGGAAACGCTCGAGATGCTCTTGCACAAGAGAAAGCGCTCCAAGTTGTAGGGCGAGTAGCCTCCCCATATGATTTACCAGACGCAGGCGTTGTTGTCGGGTCATTGCTCGAACAACTAATCGGCACGACAATGCACAATGGATCATTTGCTCAAACATAGTGATAACCTCCTGCTCAACATGTGGAGGTAGGTTTCTTTGGTCCCACATCTGCAACGTCTCTCCCTCGCGCAGCCTTGGAGCAAAACCCCTGCCAGATCTGCCTTCATAATTTCTATTTTTGTTGGAATCTTCAACGTGGAGTCTTATTTGAATACCCGATACAGAATCGGGCACTTCCTGAACAGACGGAAGTTCTTGAGGACCAGCACCGACCGAATGGGCAACATCGAATTCCGTTGGACCCTCATCACCTTGTCCTAATCTCGAAGTGGATCCATACATTCCTCTTGGAAACCCAGAATCTGTCGTTGTTAACACTGGTGTCAATTGTACTGCACCCCTTGTCCTCGACAATAAACGCTCAAAAGGACCTTCTGCTTGACGCCCCCAAACAGTTCCTCCATGTTCCTGAATCGAAATGCCCCCCTCTCCCCCAGCTTCCCCATCTTTTTCACTCTGCTCATCCTCCCCGTATCCGTGGCACGGTCTTCCGTCGCTAGCTGCAAGCGATCTGGTCAACTGACCAGACCTTTTTCTTGTAAAGTCAAAACAACGCAACAGGAGGTAGACAACAGCCAAGGAAACAAATGTTACATTTAAAAGGCGTACTGAAAAAGAGTAGGAGGAATTCTTCTTGAAGGGGAATTGAGAGTAAGCCGCCCGACCACCACAGTCAAGTACTGTTTTGCGTCCCGCATGTGGAAACCCATCTTCAACGCTGGCAAAGGCCGTGTGAACACCCACTGGACGTGGGTGTGGATGCGGGTCCATCTGAATAGAACACAGCCTGCTAATGAGTAGAGGTATACTGTCTTCGAGCTGGGGTTTGGCGGACGTGCCGACCGTGCTAGCTCATGAAAAGCTGGCAAAAAGTAAAAGCCAAGCATTCCAAATGCGCTGCCACCGCCTATAGTACTCGTCGCTCGTCCAGATTCAGTTGCAAAACGCAAAGATAACGCAACGCATCCCTGTTTTGAGGCAGCAGTTAATGGTGGTCACTAGATGTGGGTGCTACGCGAACCGATTTGGAGACAGGAAGATGCACTGGACCTCATGTAGTGAAATTGTCGATTCACCGTTGCCCCAGAGGGTAATGACAGCAGACTCACAGCAAACTACTTACATAGATTTAAAAGGACAGGTAGTGCAGATATTTCGAATTGAGGCGATCGGCGAGAGGTGTCAAAATACGTTGCCACCCCACTCATCCTCATCGTAGGACCACGGGACGTAGTGGCACATTGCTTGAAACGGCAAAGAAAAGCGTGTCAAGGCAAATTAATGCAATGGGACAAATAGTCTGTGGTTCAAATGGTAAATCTCACCGGAATTATGACCCGTTTAGCCACCAAGGGTCGTGCTTCCCCATCCACGCTCAGCCAGGGTCTCTGCTCCTTGAGCAGCCTGGAATATGGATGAAACGTAGGTGGTAGGGGCAACTACCGCTTGCAGCCATCCTTCCATACTATCTATCCTGCTCATTATCGCAAATGAACTTAAATCCGCCATGGCAACATCATACGGCGAGAATTAAATCAAGCACCGCGTTAGTCCTCAAGCCACTGAAATTGCCTTGTTTGCACGCCGTTCCTGGTCAACCTCCAAAAGCTCCAAAGCCGGTCTTTGCTTTTCTTGCCAGATGCCATTATTCCGCCCCCTTACCAGCCAAACTTAATTGATGACTTGCCGTGCCTTTGCCATGCTTTTGCCGCTTATCACAAATGCCAGAAGATATGCCTTTGAAGAAGTATGAAAGCCGGAAGTGGCGATCTTGCCGCCAGTGTGTATTGAGGGACTTCGGTCTTAGCTGAGGAGCGTCGAGAGCTGCAGCAGAGTCAGAGATTATACAAGATTTACCCACCCACAACGCCCCCCCTCCCCCC